CACGCGGTGTCACCCAGGGTAGCGGCAGTGCTGGGTGATGTCATACCAAGTGTGGACATCAGAGCGGGTGGTGGCGCTGGGTGACATCATCGCGGTGCAGTGATGGCGCTGGGTGACATCACCGCGCTGGGTGACCCACAGTGGTGGCGCCGGGTGAGTGACTCGCTGGTCTCTCTGCGCAGGCAGCAGCGGGTGCCATGGAGCCCGACCAGGCGGCGAGCGCCCAGACTGGGCCGGGAGCCACCGAGACCAAGATCCATTTCAAGGTCACCCGGTTCATCATGGAGGCAGGTAAAAGTTTGGGGGCTGCCGTGCTGGGGGAGAGAGGACGGTGAGGCGGTGGGGGGCACAGGGGCGACCGTGCTGCTGGGGGGCAGTGCCTGCTGGGGGATGGGAGGCTCTGCCAAATGGGCAGAATGGGAGGGGCAAGGGGCAGCCGAGGAGTGGGGGGCATAGCCGAGGTGGCCAGTCAATTGGGGGAGGCCTAAGGGGAAGCCAGCACCATATCCCTGAGGGGGAAAGGAGGCCATGCCAGTTGGGGAAGGGGTGGGTGGCATATCGGTTGGCGGGGGCTCTCCCCTCCCTCACAGTGACACCCCCCTCCCTCCCAGGGGTGAAGCTGGGCCTGCGCTCCATCCCTGTGGCCACGGCCTGCACCATCTACCACAGTTTCTTCACGGCCACGGTGGCCCCGGGGCCCTACGACCCCTACCTGGTGGCCATGGCTGCGCTGTACCTGGCCGGGAAAGTGGAGGAGCAGCACCTACGCACTCGGGACATCATCAACGTCAGCCACAGGTAACCCCAGCCTGTCTCCGGCTGGGGGTCTGCAACCCGCACCCTAGGGGGTAGAGCTGGGGGCCTGGAGCCAGGATTCCTGGGTTCTCTCCCCGGCCCTGGGAGGGGAGGGAGTCTGGTGGGTTAGAACAGGGGGGGCTGGGAGACAGGACTCCTGGGTTCTCTCCTTGGCTCTGGGAGGGGAGCGGGGTCTTGTGGGTTAGAACGAGGGGGGCTGGGAGCCAGGACGTCCTGGGTTCTCTCCCAGCTCTCGGGAGGGGAGTGGGGGCTGGTGGTTAGAGCAGGGCGGGCTGGGACACAGGACTCCTGGGTTCTCTCCCAGCTCTGGGAGGGGAGTGGGGGCTGGTGGTTAGAGCAGGGCGGGCTGGGACACAGGACTCCTGGGTTCTCTCCCAGCTCTGGGAGGGAAGTCAGGTCTGCAGGGCTAGAGTAGGAAGAGTGGGGGTCACTCCTGTCTCCCCAGTCCCACCCCCCGCTAACCTCCCCCTCCCCAGGTACTTACACCCCCAGAGCGACCCCCTGGAACTCGACTCCCATTTCTGGGAGCTGCGGGACAGCATCGTCCAGTGCGAGCTGCTCATGCTGCGGGTTCTCGGCTTCCGCGTCTCCTTCCGGCACCCCCACAAGGTGGGTCCTCGGGACGGGCCTGGGAGCGCAGCGGGGGGCACAGGGGGTTTGCCCTGAACCTGCCGCTCTGCCCTACAAGGAAGGGGACTGGCAATGGAGGCCAGGATGCCTGGGTTCTATGGGGAAGGGGGGTCTGGTGGGTTGGAGCTGGGGGCTGGGAGCCAGGACTCCTGGGTCCCCCCTTATCCCCCATCTCTCCCTGCAGTACCTGCTCCATTACCTGCTCTCCCTGAGGCGGTGGATGAACCGACACAGCTGGGAGCGGACCCCCGTCTCGGCGGCGGCCTGGGCACTGCTCCGGGACAGCTACCACGGGGCGCTGTGTGTGCGCTACCTCCCCCAGCACGTGGCGGTGGCCGTGCTGTACCTCGCCCTGCACTGCTATGGGGTGGAGGTGCCCGCCCATGCACAGGCCCAGAGACCCTGGTGGCAGGTAAGAGAGGTAGGGACTTAGCCCACACCTTGGAGCCCTTTTGCCGGGGAAACTGAGGCACAGAGTGGGAAAGTGGCTGGCTCAGGGTAACCGAGAACCAGTGGCGGAGCCAGAGACAGAACCCAGGCGTCCTGCCTCCCAGCCCCCCCTGCTCTAACCCTCTAAAACAGCTCTGGCCAAGCCAGCCAGCCCCTGCCCTGGGCCTGAATGGGAGCCAGCGCCCCCTAGAGGGGACAGACCCCATGTCCCACTGTAGAGCTCCCCAGCAGTTCATAGAATATCAGGGTGGAAGGGACCTCAGGAGGTATCTAGTCCCACCCCTTGCTCAAAGCAGGACCAACCCCCACTAAATCAGGCTGCATTCCCTGCGCCGTTGCTCCCATCTCCTTTCCTCCTCTCCAGGTGTTCAGTGACGATCTCAGCCAAGCTCAGATTGACCAGATCGTATTGGACCTGATCCAGATTTACACCTTGGATGCGGAAATCTCCTAATGGGGTCCAGCGAGCGACCCAGTGCGGGGGAGGGGACAGGCCCCATTCCCACCCCCCGAGCCAGCCAGTCCCTGCCCTGGGGCTGGATGGGAGCCGGCGCCCCCTAGAGGGGAAAGGCCTCATGTCCCATTCCCGCCCCCTGGGGCTGGATGGGATCTGGCACTCCCTAGTGGGGAAAGACCCCAGACCCCATTCCCACCCCCCAAGCCAGCCAGTCTCCGCCCTGGGGCCAGATCGGAGCCGGCACCCCCTAGAGGGTAAAGACCCCAGACCCCATTCCCACCCCCCAAGCCAGCCAGTCTCCGCCCTGGGGCCAGATCGGAGCCGGCACCCCCTAGAGGGGAAAGACCCCATTCCCTGCCCCTTCCCCATCTTTGAAAGCGGAGTGTTGGTTGCAGTCTGGGTGTCCTGTCCCTCAGCCGTTACCCTCGCTGCCCGTGCTCCTCCCGCGGGCCGGCTGCCTTGTTGGCTGCACCTCGAGAAGGCCGTCGGACCCGAGCACCGTGCCAGCTCAGAGCCGCTGCAGCTGCTGGGATGCGAGCTCCAAAGAGCCACATCACGCGCCCGGCGGGTGTTAGCCACATGGGTCCCGACCAGCCGATTCCACATGTACCTGGGGCTCCTTGAGCTTGGACTGCTTGATCCGGCGAGTAAAGTTGTGCCTGTGAACCAGCTGTGAACGGGTTGTTCTTTGGGCTTTGCCCCGGGCTTGGGCCTGGCGCACCCATTTCGCCCGCTGACACCTGGGCCCGTGGAGCAGTGCTGGGTCGCAAAGGGGGCGTAGGTATAATCACCACAGCCATGAGGCTGGGGGGGGGTGGTTCCCACACATGTAACCGACTCTGCCTGAGTTTGCAGACAGCCTGCATCGCCCACATCTTACGTCTTCCCCTCCCCCACTCGCAGGAGGAGAAACGGCGTCCGGGTGAGTTATTTTATTAATTTTTAATAATATGAACAAACTTGATCGAGCCATTCAGTTGAGTTATATGCTTTGATCCAGAAATGGGCATGGTGGGGTGCGGGGGTCACAATTTCAGTCCGAAATCCGCCCCCACACTGGGGAGAGGTGGGGGCGGGGACACCCATAGAAACCTTGAATTGATTTTTGTTTGTTCCTTAAAAAAAACCCCAAAGCAGTCTGTGTGTGTCCCCGGCTGGAGAAAGGGAAGAAACCAGAACGGATCCCCCGCCTGGGTGTGGTTAGCCCCAGCGAGGTTTTCACGGCTGAAAAGTGAGCGGGGAGTGTTGGGTTGTTAAAGTTTTTTTTTTTTTAAATATATATCTATATATTCCCCCCTCCCCCGCCCCGGTCTATCAATATATCTACAATATTGAATGAGAACAAGCTGGATGGAGGGAGGTGAGATTTCCTGGATTCACCCCCCCCGGGGAGTCGAGGGGGCTGGGCTGGAGGGCGGAAGAACGGTCCTCGCCGGGGTGGGGGTTACCCATGGCTTTTGAGAGCGCTGGCGCTGGTGGTTGGACGCGGGGTTAGGTGTGGAAACAGGAAAGGGGCCTCACAGGAAATATGGGACCCCCGCCCCCGCCTCCCACACACGGCTTTTGAGAAGGATTGTGCCAGAAGGGGAAATTGAGGCAGTAGCAGGTACTTGCCCTACCAGAGCCAGGGGTAGAACCCAGGAGTCCTGGCTCCCAGCCCCCCCTGCTCTGACCACCAGACCCCACTTCCCTCCCAGAGCTGGGGAGAGAACCCAGGAGTCCGGGCTCCCAGTCCCTGCTGCTCTAACCACTACACACCAGTCCCCTCCCAGAGCCGGGGAGAGAACCCAGGAGTCCGGGCTCCCAGCCTCAGGTGGGGGAGCTGAAGGTCTGTAAGTAACACCTGAGGGCCAGCCCTAGCTGGTGTGAATGGGGCAGCTCCATCCACCCCCAAGGGCAGCTGAGGGGCTGCTCCTCTGCCACCCCAAATCTCCATGGGGACTGGGAGGTGCCCCGAGGAGGCTGGGGGCACAGAGGGCAGGGGCGGGCCCTGGGTGCCGGGCAGTGCCGCAGGTGGGGCGTTGGGAACCAGAGCGGATGCCCCTCCCCCTCTGCAGCACACAGGCCCCCTCCCGGGCTGTAGCATCTCCCCACCAGCAGTACAGGGGAGGGGGGAGCTTAACACTGACCGAGACATACAGCATTTGGGGGGGGGACTGCCTCTCACCCAGTATCTGCGCAGCGCCCGGCGTGACGGGCGTCTCCCATCTGGGTTGGGGGAGTTACGTGGCAAACCTGGGGCCCTGCTCTTGGTTGGGGGTCCGGGTGGGGTCCAGTGTGACAGTCCCCTCCCGCAATCCTCCCGCCATGTTTTCACGACCAAGCCCTTGTTAAACACCGGCTCCAGCGCCCGACAACTTTAAAAAACAAACAAACCGAAACGCACAATCTCCCCCGCCACCGCTTGGGCTGACAATTTGCCCCGGGGGGAGAGGGGGATGCTGGGTGGTGGTGGTGGTAAGTAGCATGTGGGGCCGGCATGCGACGGTCAGTCCCGTAAGACAGTCAGTCGGTATCGTATATATATTGAGGCTATAGATCGCTAAATGGGCCCTCGCCCCGTCCGCAGTGGGTCCTTCCCGGCCGGCTCCAGCACCACAAAGAGTCTGCCTGGGCTGGCGCGCCCTGGGGCACCCGCCTGGGGCTGAGGCTCCCCAGAGAAATGGGGGCCGCTCCCAGCTCCAGCTCTGTCCGCAGCCAGTTCACACTCCGACAAGCCGAAGGAGCCCGGGCCCCTCTGTTCCTCTGGCTGCTGGATTTCCTGCCCCCGTGCCGTGGGGCCAGCCTCCCGGGGCGTTAGAGGGACGTTTCCATGCTGTGGAGCGGGCTGGCGGGGCCGGCGGAGGTAGGAGACTTGGAGCCGTCGTCAGTGGCCAGGTAGACGCCGCTGTCGATGGCGTTGTTGTTCTTGTTGGGGGTGGGCGGGGGGCTGGGGGGCCGGCGGGCCGCCTCGCTCTCCTCCACGTCGGTGTCGTCGATCAGGGGGATGTTGTGGGTGTAGTCGTTCAGCAGGAACTCCGGGGTGGTCATGAAGTTGTGGATCGAGGTCTTGGAGTCCGGCTTCTCCAGCCCTTCGTAGAGCGAGCTACGGAACGCTTTCACTACGCGGATCTGGGGGAGGGCACCCGGCGGCCGGGGGGAGGCGGGCAAAGGGGAAGGCAAAAAGGAGGGGAAAGAAGGGTGAGTTCTAGGTGCCAATCCAGGCAACACGCCCGGGGGCAGCCTGCGGTAACCTGGTTACTGTTGATCCAGAAGAGAACCCAGGACTCCTGGATTTTAGGCTCCCCCCCCCACTCTAACCCATTAGACCCCACTCCCCTCCTAGACCCAGGGAGAGAACCCAGGAGTCCTGGCTCCCAATCCTGGGCATGCACAATTATCTGTAGCATGATCTATCTGTCCACCGATTGTTCTGCACCTTCTGTATCTAATCCAAAACACGCCCCTTTGTGCATCCATCCCATAGACGCCCTCGTCTCTGTATCTATCCTACCCCCATCCATCCCGCCTGCTATCTGTCCTACCCCCACATCCATTCATCCATCCCATAGACACCCCCGTCTCTGTATCTATCCTACCCCCATCCATCCCC